GCTTCAGAGATTCTCAGATTTGATCTTAGTCCTGTTGGGTTTTGGCACTGCCACAGTGGCACTGGTGGGCACATTGCACTGATTCTGCTGCTGGCCTTGCAAACATGCCCCCTCACACCTCATTTAGTTTCTACTGCAGAGATTCTCTGGGAGAAACTGCTAGGCTGTTGTTTTACTGTTGTTTTATCTGCCTGCCTTTGGAAGCAGTGAAGGATGGGGCACCCTCTTTGGATGCCCCTAGAATTGGACCCCTTGTCCAAGCTTTTCCAAACTTGGAAGTTCTTTTGGGGAGAGGCTCCAGCAGCTACAGTACAAATTTGGTGCCTCTACCTCAACCCACCCCCTAGCCCACTGAATACTCCTTAGAAGATTTTGCCATTGACTACAATGGTCCCATAGGATATAATGGAGCCATTTTTTTTATTTTTTTTGGTATCCCCAAGTATTTCCAGATAACAATATATTACCGGTATTGGTATTTGGGTATATTCAGGAATACTGAAAAAATTCGGCTTCATTATACCCGAATCCAAAACAAACCCTGAATTTTTTCCCCTGCACATCCCTACCCTAAGTCCAATTAATGAGGGTCTCAGGGAGCTAGCTGGTTGGGGAGGCTTCTGCCCCTTTCCCTGTCTCTGAGTAAATTCAAGAAAACCTATTGTGGCGGAATGGGCCTGTGTCAGCTGGCAGGCCCCGCTCTGCCCTCCCCTCCTTTGCCTGACCTGGCACCTGAAGGGGCAGTTCTTCTCCACTGCCTCCGGGTATTGCTGCCACCACTGTCCCTCTCTTGGGCTGTGATTAGGCGGGGCAGCCTCCTAACCTCCCTCTGGTGTCGCTAGCAATGTTCCCTCTAAGCTGTGGAGTCCTGTGAGCACAAATGCTACTTTGTGAGCTACTGGCATGAAAGTTGTGAGCGAGCGATTTGGCTACTGCATAAATTAGTCTGCTTTGGAGCCATCCTTCCTGAGCTAAGACAAGAATATGTGAGCCGGAGGCTAGAAAACTGTGGGCTAGCTCACACTAACTCAGCTTAGAGGGAACACTGGTCGCTGGGAACCCTGGGGCTTCCTGGCAATCTTCGGGGCTCCCCTAGAGAGTTGGCAACTGGCCATTTTGCTGCCCCTGCTTTTCTCTTCCTCCTCAGGGAGTCCCCGGCCCACCCCTGGCGTGCACAAACGGCTTGGGTGGAACTACGCGGTACAGAGGGATCCCACTCCTTTATCATTTAAAGGATTTATTTGAAAACACGTGACTATTTACAGGCATACAGTGAACTGAAGAATCAAAAATAAAGGGTGGCAAAACCGCTCCATCTCTCCCTTCTCTACACTCGGGCCCTGTCTGGATGGTCTGCAGGGCGGGCACGTCGCTTCATTCCACTGGAGAAGGTTAGATCAGCAGGTCTCCCAACATGGCCACTGTCTCCTGCAGACGCCAACCAAAAGTCTGACCGGCTTCAGACTTCTCACAAACTGACCGACTGCTGATCGACTACCTTCCCGCCCAAAACTCCACTATATAAAACAGCCGTTTCCCACCCAAGAACTGGCTCTCCCCCCTGCAGCATTCTGGGGCAGATCTCCTCGCAACCTTGATGGACTCCCTGTCCTCTCTCGGGAGCTGCCCTCTGACTGCTGGTTGGAGACAGGAGGGGATGAGGAGGAGACTAGGCCGAGGCCTGCCTCAGGTTTGATGGCTTCCTCCCATCCAGCCCACACCAACTTATGTCCACAAAATGGCGTTTCTCCACACCTATGTATGGGGTTAATGCCACTGCAAAGGCGTTTATTGCTCTATTCTCTAAGTCCTTGCTTTTTGACCATTACATTCTCACAGCCACTGTACGTTTGCAGGCTGAACGTAGAGAGGTGACTCTCCCTTTTCTCTCCTACATTAATTTTTAAAAAATATAAACTATGTCAAGGCAGATTTGCATCTGCCCATTCCGTAGTGACAGCAGGTGACAGAACACAAAGATGATGGATACGTCTCTAGTTTCTTGTCCGGATGGTTTAGCGAAGCAACAATATAGAAAGTTTCCTCTCTAATTTATGCAAGTGAGGATCTCAGACTCTCAAAAATCCTGATTTAATTAGGAGAAGAATTTATTTCCCTCTGGGCGGGCAGACTGGCACAGTTGGCCCCAGCTCCTTTTGAGCCTTTGTTCAGGAACATCTGTGTTCAGGCGGCTCCTGTTAATAAATGATGTTGGTCTTTAA